GAAAACTTTGAGGAAGCCATTTTTACCGGTATAAGTGAGTTTGGCCATGGGATAACATCTGTGTGGTACGCCGTACGTACGTATGCCCTGTCTAGCTGAGGGTTCATTCGTTAAGAACTCATACAGCTGCTCGCGAAGAGGTCAATCGGTATCTTTCCGTTTGCGTCCACATTCACACATAATGTATTATCCAGACGGAATTGGTTGGCCAAGGGTTCGTCACTAAATAGAACACACGAGATCGGCAACTGGCTAGGATCCGTTCGTAAATTCCCTATAAATTTCAGCTGACAATAGTGGACTTACTTGTAGTTTTAGACACAGGACGAAAGACAAACGTCATAGACTAAATGTAGATAGTTTCACGCTAACGCTATTTAGAGAGTTGCACAGTATAAAGTTCAGAAAAATATGATCGAACTTATATCTCGCATATTTTGTTTCTTGTAACTAATTACCTTAGCATCATTTCCCGGCCTAGCCTAGTTTCGCTCTATGCAAACATGTCTCTCAGGACAAACAGCATTCACCTGCAACTGAGCCCCGCTTATAGCAGACGACTGAACTAATCATCAATATTTAGCCGCTGCCCGGGAGCGTTTATACTCTCACTTTGTGTTTTTTTTTTATCGCTTCGATTGGTATAAACTATGGACATTTCGGTTGGTATTGACTCTGCCAAGCCTATCGATTTGTATCCTAATACAGAAGGGGGTGCTTTTGTCCTGGACATATGTTTGGGCTTATCGTAGTAAAGCTTGAGCCTAGGTTAGGCTGACGTTTTCTCATAAAAGGGCATCATCGTTTACAAACAATAGAATGCATCTGCAACAAATCCATCGTTAGCTAAATCAAGCGAATATCCTGTTGTAAATTACCTTCATCACAAACTGAAAGAGAATCTCGCAAATCCGTAACCGAACAATTAACAGAGTATGTAATTTGTAGCCTTAAACACAAATGCTAAGTAACAGCAAAAGGAGGGCCAATATGAACAAAATACATACGCTAACTTTTGACGAGCTCACACGAAATTTAAATACCATAAAAGGAATACGAATATGAGAACATAGCCCCAGTATGAGCTAGGACTACAATCAAGTCGTATCTATGATAAAATAGGAAAGCAGAATAAGGACATTTGTCACCAGGGGGATACCTCTAGAATTTTCCCTGGGCTAGGCATGCTACGGGTACCTAGCCTAGATAGAGAAGAAAGAAAAGATGTGAAGCATTTCAACATTCGGCCCTTCTTCAACAATGCTTTCAGGCCGCTTTTTAAAACACAATAACATCTAACAAAAAAAAAACAGCGTTAACAACAGCAATAACCAAACGTGAGGTAGCGAATAAGCGACAAACGAAAAAACTTGTTGTAGCTCTGTTTCGCTTCATGTTGCTCTGAAAAAGACGAAGAAATTCAGCGACGGCGACGACAGAACGGATAGTGCCAGCATGTGCTTTTACTCATTGGCGAGGAAAATTGTACAAAAACGAAATAAAATAATAAGGAAAACACAAGTTGGACAAAAAGACGACATGTTACAGATGTACTCCCCTCCCCTCCCCTGGAACTAAAAGAAATTCGTATCCTTCCGCTTTACGGCCAATAAGCTAACAAGTTGGAACTTGGAAGACCTCCATCTTTTCCCGGAGATACATACAGAGCGCGTCTCTCGACACGAAACACGTAACGTAGGCATACGAGCAAATGCACCGTTACGCACAACGAGCGAAGACCAGAACACGTTCCGGCTGACGCGATCTCCACTCATTTTCGAGCTCCTTGCACCTACTACGACAACTGCTGCAAAGGCTAAAAAAGGACTCGTCCTTGGCGGATTAGTCAGTCATTGTCGGTGCTTCGCATTATTGATCTACGCAATAAAGAAACTATCAGAACGATAGCGTACAGTCTGCTAACGCATAAGGCCGTCGCCTTACGAGCAGTGGCAGGAAGCGGTTGGTTGGTTGATGCGGAGTCAATGAAGGGCATTAAGTTCACGAAAGGGCGGAGAGCAACTATTCTCGTCAGGAAAATGCTTCATTCGTCTTTGTCTCGCAAAGCCAACCTGCAGTGTGCGCATATTGCTAAAGGAGCAGACTGACGCTATACAAGACAGGAGATATGCTATATATTTTCTGCCAGAGGAAATGAACGTTGCAGAAGAAGGAACACAACGAACGTGAAGAATAGAACATGAAAAAGAAAGGCGTGTCGATGCACTGAGGCCCAGATGGAACCAAGCAACATCAAAACAGGTCCGGTCCGCGTCGCACCATCAGCGCTGGCCTTACGGCTTAAAAGTGCGTGTAATGTCACCGCGGCCGTTAACTTACAGGGAAGTTTGTCTATTAGGCTACTAAGCTTAGGCAAGAGGAAGGCTCCGTCAGCTGGATGCTGTTCTCCCAATGCAGCTTTTTTTTTTTTTTTTTCTGTATATGAGCAATGAGCCGTGTTTTGATCGATGCGCAGACGTGATGCAGAAATGTAATGCATTTTGGTGTAATATCGACTAAGCACATGTAATAACTAAGGTATTACAATGTTCGAGCTCCGGCGAGTTGTCGAGTCGTTCGTGGTCAATAGACGTCGGTTAAAGATTCAAGCAATTGTCAACCCACTCGCAGGCTTTCGCGCTTTTAGCAATCTTACGCCTTTTCGTATGTTTCAAATTGACAAAAATCGTCTTCGAAGACCGTTCGTTACGGATAAACTGAGCCCTGAAATAGTTCCCTGTTTCGTTTTTTTTACTTGCCCTTATAGGTTTTTCGATAATTTTACTAAAATTGTTATGAAGCTTTATTTTAATAAGTCGATTTTCAAACACCGCCAATTAATATAGCCTTAACAGTAGATTTAAGTAAGTTGGGTGAGCAAGCATCGCATCGTTGAGTACTATACGTTTGGTTAAATAAGAAAAACAATAATTATTATTTTACAGCTTATAAAAAGATTGAAGAATACGACAAGATGCATCTTAGCACGTTATAGAATTGCATTTTAGCTACAACTGCAAAAACGTCTGCTTATTTAACCGCCCTAAGGATAATCTTCAACAAAAAATGATTTAGGTAGATTATTGAAATCAGCCCCATCTATCGAATCGACAAGATGTATGCTAGAACTATTGGAACATGGACTAGTTCATGCATCGGAAAATAAGAATGACCGTCTGTTTAATCCATACGAGTCATGAGGCTATAGGGAGGCATTGACGAATAACCTGGTAATAAACAAAAACGCATACGCTGTGTCTTCATGAATATCTTCTACAGTATAATGAGACATATGAACTGCAAAAAACAAGTTTGACTAGACAACTTTACTAAGGCGCTGTCGAAAAGGTATCGACTGTCCTTCTAGCTATGCGGTTTTGAAGTCACATATCTCAGACTGCGTTAGGTCGGCGTTGCTGGATCTTGGCAGCTGCAATTTGGCAATGATCGATCCTTAAAAATTATCGGAATGCTTTCACTCGAAACTAGCATAGAACGTGCTATAGTTAAGTTAAATTACTGCAAAAATTCGTCATATTTTACAGTTTTATTGCACAAATGCTGCCCAGGCCCGTAGTGCCCGGTTATCGGAAGAAACAGTCCACACATAGTTCTATCCCTTCCGTTCTGGAAATTTTGATGTGCAAGTCGTTCCTCGTAGTGGTCGATCGTGACGAAAAACGTCGATGAAATTATCGCTAAAGTCCCCAAGCGGTTTTTAACCCATTGACAAAAGCTGGCTGTAAAAAGAAGCTCTGTATTTGGACGCTGCGCAAAGTGACACATATTAACTTGTTCAATTGCGCTTTTATCTGCGAAGGAATCGTATTCCTATTTTCTACTAAGACACAAGAAAATCGAGCCACTTCTAGAACAGTAGTACATCACGGCGGATATTCACTAGATAATTATGTATAAAAGACAAAGAAAAAAGGTTCCCTACTCTGTGACAAAGTACAAATTGTCGTCATCGATGTTCGTGCATCGTAAGCCACTGTTACCTAACAAAACAAAAACTTTTTTAACCCCTGTTGTCAACAACTAATAAGATTGCAAATTCGGCCGAAACCAGCGAACGAAGTGGGCGTCATCTTCCATCATAAACGGGCTAGCAACATACATACTTAGCTACTCGGCAAAAATTAAGAGAGCTTGGATGGGAAAGTTTAATGCATCGGAATATCCATGTATGATATATACCTAGAAAACACTTTTAGGACACAGTGCAAGCGTCCAAATTATCGCTGTTCAGTGAAGTAACGGTAACTGAATTATAGTAAAACTAGCGATCGTCTACGATAGCTCTCTACAGACCCAGTTCCCGGTCTATTCGAACCATTTCTCCTTAATAGTATGGTTTCTACACACAGCAATCATTGGAATGAAGTAATATATTCTGTCCGCTGGATCTTGCGATTGACCAGCTCCAATATAAAAATGAATTTATCAGGTCAAAGCATAAAAATTTCAAGTAGGTGATAAAAATGGATGTCAGGTATTGTGAACATATCATCTGGAGTTCTTTTTGTCTTCTAAGCACGTTGATGACTGACTGCACAGCAAAAAAGTTATGAACCCGATATCTTTGTAACAAAATCAATGTGTTTGTCAATTGTTTTTAGCGTTCGCTTGTACGAGTTGTGACAAATGAAATCGTGCAAAGTTCATTCCACAAAGAAATGGCTTTTTTTTTTGATTCGGTAGCTTTTTTTTTTTTTACCAGAAAACCATACCCACCGTCAATACGGCAATAGGCTGGTTCCTTTGTGAAGTAGTATGCCTATATCATTATAAGAAAATCGTTTTCGCTTTCTGTTATTACTTTGATCTACGGAATACAATGAAGGTTTATTGTTTTTACATGGGGTTAATCATCTACGAATTCTAGAAAACGTCGGCTACACTCACTGATTTTTTAATTAATTATATTTCTCTCACAGAGGCGCACCGAGCAAAATCACCTGCGTTGTTCCCGTTAGCTTAGCTCATTACCTACACGATACTCTTCAAACCATTCTGTTTATTTAGCACCTATATTGCAAGATCTCATTTTTATAAACAGCTGCAAGTTCTTCAAACCCGTAATTGGGGTTTGTTAAGCACAAGAAAATGGATATATTGCTCTGTATTGTCTAAGTCAGAGTGCTAGCCTTTCTTGAAATTCGCTCCCGCGTTAGGATAGCATCGTGATATAGCGGAAGTCACAGACGATTTTTCTCTTTCTTCTTATTGTTTTGTACCAATTATCCTACTTGTCTTGTTTCTTTACTGTGCCCTCCTGCGTATAAGCTGCTGTTTATTTGTCTTTGTCTGCGCGTTCGAGGCGTGGTTCCTTTAAAGGGACGGTTAGCAACGGACATCGGCCTATTATCCGTTAAGGAGGGTGTCTCTCCTCCAATGAAATCGGGAAAGCCGCACGAGCTCCCTCTCCACAGCTGCCCTCCTTTAGCGCCTCGTGTGTAATTTCGCATGTGGTCCCTGGCTGACCAGTTCTTTCAGCAATCCTCATAGAGGAGGGTTGTAGATGCTATAGACAAAGCACGACAAACAAAAGGAACTTTAAACGTATAAAAATCCCCTGAGAGGACCACTCGTCATGCTTCACATTCCCCACACTTTTGCTAGTCCATTTGCTTGAGCAAACGCGTTCACCAAACGCTACAACCAGAATGGTATAGCTGGAGCCACATCAGCTGGTAAATCCGTAGTCCAAACGTATCGTAGTATAATTATAGCTAACACGAGCTACGATGATGTTTAGCATAGGAACTTTGACTGAAGAGACACTCTAGTTTTTATGGTCGTGATAATAAGTCTTTCCGATCTCTCCAAATCAAACCGACAGATACGAAAACAGTTTCGTATGGCCACTAAGTAGCCATTGAAAATTGCAAACGTGTTTGTTTTATCGAAAACTATCCGTGGACTTCTACGAAAGAGTCAAAGACATCGTTAGGTCACGTTTTTTCCGTCGTTTCTAGTACAATAGTATCTGAAATGACATCTGACATATTCATCTGTCCAGTGACAGTAGCTGTAACTAGGGTTGCACACATTTTCGACTTAACGAGTGGCTTTTAGATGAAATGCATGCACTCTGATTCGGTGGTCGGCAAAGGATTATTACGAGTGGTGTGTGTACAAGTGGTTACTGTTTTGATTTGCTAAAGGAAAATGAAACAGATAAAAAGCGACGAGAAGAAAGACTTTCAGAGGAAGCTTTTCAAGTGACTCGAGAACGTGTTTACCCGCTAAACAAAGAGACACATCAAGTGGTCCGAGTTCGAAACCGGGCGTGGACGCACCTCGTTCTGTGCCGGTAGGGCCAGCCATCAGTGGCTGAGGTACAGCTGAAGTACGGGACGTAAAACTCAAACCAATTATTTATCTCAGCGACTCTAGCGGTGTTTGAACTAGGAGAGCTGGACTCAGAGGTTTATGATCAGCAGTAAATCACTTCGGGTGTTTGTAGAGCTCACACCACGCCAGAATGATGACGGCTCTTTTTAGTAGTCACGCTTTATTGCCCGTCCTGGGGATTTTCTCTTTTGCGCATATCCAAGGTGAGTTCTCGTTTGCACCCGGTTGTTCCGGCAGACATACTTCTCGACCGGGATCGTACTGATGCTGATACAATTTTGAAAAAAACTTGTCCTGAACCACGACCGAACAGCGATTTCTTCAAGAACTTCAATTCGCCCTAGCCGTTCAGCACAGTTGGCAAGGCCATCTCAAGATTTAATTTCAAAGCCACAATAATGAGCAATAGCCGATTTTTAGTATTCAACAGTTTACAGCTTACAAAATGTTACATCGCGATGTATATATACTCAGCGGAATTTCGTTGACGTATTCTAGACCTTCTGTACTGGATTGATATGGTTGTAGTTGCCCAGACATGGCCCTTCGATTTATTCTAAAATAGATAATTGGATTTGGATGACTTCTATGCTATTTTCGTCTGAACCGTGGCTCCAAGGACAGCGGCGTCCGGTAAACATTACGAAAACTGCCGCTCTTAGTGTTTAGTTAGGTAGTGACGCTGCGTGCTTTCTTTCGAGCCATGAAGGTTGTATTATTTGAAAAATAAAGTCCTCGACACTTACGAAATCTTCAACACCCTTTCGAGTATCGATCATCATTGCCAATAACCTCAATTTGCCTGATTAGAATTTAACGAAACAAACTAAAACGATATTTTACCTTGTCTTGATTATGACAGAACGGACTTGTTTCGTCGTTCAGTAGAAACAGACAAGTAAAAAAATAGCTATCCGAGATTTTTGTACACTACCGTGTTGAGAACGGACATCGTGTACTTTATTCTCAATACGATCACTGCTCGATTTGCCCCTCAAGTCTGATCTTATTGAATATCCGATTAGTGGGTTCGACTTTTATCATAATAATTATGAAGCGATAGGTTTACGATAACTTTGCCCTATGCCGTCAGCTATTCTACGAGCTTTGTAAGTGGTAAAAATACGTAGACTCACTTTGTTTATTCCACCTTTGTGCTAATCCATATTCTATACTTTTATTCGAAGAGGCTCTTATTCTTGCTATCGGTAAGATATGACCGACAGTGATCGAGGGGAGGCAACCATGTCGTCGCCAGGCTCTATAACCCCTGGCGAAATGAATTCTGCGGGGTCGCTTGAAGCCTAAAGAATGTCACCTTAGCTCTCTGTGTTGATCACAAAATGGTAAGCACAAAGGTCTGAACACGCTCCATTCAAGTAAAGCTTTACGCTTGATTGAATACAATCATACTCGTGCGAAGAAACATGGCAATTTCTGATAAAACCATATCAGCTTTGGATGCTCGTGTAAGAAGATTGGCCTCCAACTTTATTCAAGATGTGTAAAGCAGTGCTTTTACGCAAGGAATACGTTAGTAGATCGTAGACACATTGTATACTGGTCGACACCATAAACCGCGAACTATGATTATGGGTGTTGAGGTCTATGAACGTAGAATATTTTCAAGTTGGCGACAAACAAAAAAATATGGACAAACTAGCGCGGCGACATCAATCGTGGAACATGGCCAGCTCAACATTGATATTTAAAAAACGGCCCCACAGTTCATATGATAGAGTTTTCTTGGTTATTTAACACGTCAAAGGTAGATTGTACTATTAAAAGATAATCCAATACTATATTGAGTCGGAAATCGTTCAACGTTCTCTAGTGAAGAGATCTGAGTCCTACGGTCATATTTATTAAATCCTAGCTATACTGAAGCTGTCGTGTTAAACTACTGTAGAAAATACGGTCACCGCTTTTAATTTGGGGCCTGTAAGCGTTAGTTTTTGGGAAGTGTCTTATCGAAGTGTAACACGTCCCGCCATCTGATTGTTTCAAAGATCAAATGGAGATTGCGCGAAAATTATATATCAAGATCTATTATCGCAGATTTTACAAAGCAAAACTCAGATACGCTTTTTTTCAATATTTATTCTAACGGTTTGAGAAGTTGTATATGAAGAGTAAATCTCAAGAGAACCCAGGATCAGACAGGGGTAAATCACCTACCAGAATAGCCGCCCAGGCTTCCCGCGATAGCCGCAAACTTTTTTATCTGACATAGAAATAATTCAATTGAAAACGAATGGTAACAAGTCGTTCATGCGTGTGTCCTATATAACACTTTAAAATTTATTACTTCTGCACGAAAAATGGAGAGATAGTCACGCTTATACCGTACGTAGCGTTCGTTGGGCTAGTCGAGTGTGTTATGTGCTAATAACATGTAGCTGATGACGATGATCTTGCCACATAAAAGACGTTCGAGGTGGCGACCGGGCGCATCGGTCTGTGAGTATGAAGAATCAGCATAAGTTCTGTACCCTTCATTTTCCTGAGTTATGATTCCTGATCTATGACGTATACTATTGGAAACTAAAGGACAATACTGCAGCAACAGCGTTAGTAATGTCTCTGTCGATATTGTAGTTAATTAATTCTGTTCTGAAGGTTATGTACTTGCGACAATATCGCTTTGTTAGTTCTGTGGCTTTCTAGGTTTTACTACTCAACTACAAAGTGAGAGACTTCGTAGGCAAATACTCTATCAATGCGCCATTACAAGGAGCCAATGTGCAACGGTCGGCAACTTAATACCACGCTTTTATCTACGTCTATTATTTTATTAGAGGCCTGGTTCAGGCTCATTTCCCACTAAGATAATAGCTCAAAGTAGGACCTCGTTGATCGTGATGTGCCGTATTTTGCAACAGTTAGTTTGAGATCGGCAAAATTTGCTAAAAAAAAATAAAAAGAAATGTGCTAGAGTATACTGTGAATGACAATTTAAAAAAATCTAAACAACCGTTTCTAACTGTGTATAATGTTTCGTGTCATTCGTCCTAACTTCGGCCCACACATTAAAACACAATCATATATTGTACACTGACCCATTTTTAATGGGTCAGTGTACAATATATGGATGTTATATGCAAATATGTATAGGGAGTAAAGTGTACAATGTCAACCTCTTTTTTTATATGGCAATAACGCCATCAAAAACATAATTGTAGAAAATATTCATTATAAGGCGCCATCCTGTAATTACGCTCCATTTGTTATCGTTAGATATACTATGCTGTATATCTATATGCTGTCCACATGCAAACAGCCAACATTTCCAGATCCATTGCTTGTTCCACTGACATTGATACGGAGTTTTCATCTGACGCGGCTCGTTCTATAAACCGCTTTCCCTTAGCCACCCCGCTGTGACGACCATTGAAAGTAACAATAGTTGCTCGAAGGCATCCTTTCTTTCTCTCTCTCTCTCTCGCTCGCAGCCCTACTCTGCATGAGAATAGGCTAATAGTGCGCAGACACGACAGACAGATAAACGGACTTTAACTATCTGATGCTACACCATTACGCCGTAACCGAACTAACGCCGAACAACGCTGTTCTGTCCAACAGGCAAAGATTTCTGCGACGACAGACACCGTACCTAGCGATTCTGTTCACTTGACTCAGGTCCGCAGATGCCGTGTCCAGCTTTCAACACAGAAAGACTGCCCCCATCTTACTCAACTTTTCATAAAAAAGGATTAAGATAAAACTACCGAGGGACATTTGGATGATACGAATAAAAAACCAATTTCCCTGTTTTTTTTTTCTTGAGTCCCTTCCCACTTTACGTCCTTCGTCTTAAAACTGTAAACCGTGTCACTCTCCAGCAGGACAGTCATCATGCTACATTTTTATATAAGTGTTTAGGTTTTTGCGTCTATTAGAGGATCTCTGCGAGAGTCTGTACGGTTGAGCGTACATATTTAAGGATCTAGCCCCGGCCGATACTCCAACGCGAAGTGTATTACCTAGCAAGCCACTCAGATAGCTGAATGCTCTCCTGATGCATGATGCGTCACCCTGCGACTCAATCGTTGGTTTATACTATTATACGACAACATATACAAATATTGATTGGATATGTTGTCCAGATGTCCAGAAATGATACTAATCAATATATAAACACAGTGAAATTTGCGCAGCTTTGCAGAATAAGGAGCTCAGTCTAACACGGTCTTCGACTATATTTAGAAGTGCTGTAACTTGTTGAAACGTTTTCATCCGAAGAGTTACAGCCGACTAAGATAAAGGCGGTAATCTACTGTTTCATTTTCTAAAAATGAACATACTCATTTGTATATAAATGTGTATAAACAATACAAAAAGCATTCAAAGCGATTATAACAAGCTTCACTTCTTAAGTACTGAATGGTGCCCACCTTCACTGGGTTTTCCAACACCCTGTATAACAATAAAGCGCAAAGAGAGTCGCTTGTATCCGTGGGGCGTTTTTACACGAAAGAAACAGCTCTGTTAAACTGTTACTAGCAGGCTATTGGTGTATAAATGTATATATATCTAACAAAAACACCTGCATCGGGCACTCACTATAGCGTGGTTCGATACTTGCTTAATTTACGTTGTAATATTATACAATAGGACGCATTCTGAGTGAATTGTGGGCGGAAGGGTTCGTGTTCAGACGAAACGCTACAGTTTAATGTTAGGAAGCGAATCAGTCTCTCAATTAGAACCTGCAGGTTAAAACCTTTTTTTTTTTTTGTGTCTTTTCTGTGATTATGATGATTCGGTAGCTTTTTTTTTTCATATTTTCTAAGAATTGAAAAATTATATTAGCCCTATTATATGGAATTGAACGTTTCATGAGTCGTGAAATGAAATTTAGTTGTCTTTCAACGCTAACGCTTTGCATCTCTGTAACTTTATTCAGATAAAGCTAAACTAAACAATAGTTTGTACTATACAATGGCATAGCTTGGCCGACATACATATAAGCTTTCTAATTCTAACAGGACAAAGTACGGCACAGGCCTATCTTTCCTGCCCTTAATGTTGCCTTTTGTTTCATCAATGATCCGAATGTATTTTGTCGGCCATCTGTACGACGAGCAATCAACAAGCACATAACAGCTGCACATATATATTACGCCTACCGGTTAAACATCGACGGTTCTATACCATCGATAAAATTTAAGGTTGTATTTTTGAGCGCCAAAAGATCTGGCAGACACAAAAACAACGTTCTCTCGTCTAGCTTTTACTTATTAAGAAATAATATAATGTATAGGGCGCCAGAAACACAGTGAACTAGTGTAGCTGCTGAGCTTCAACTGTTGATCCCAGATAAACCATCCCAAACGGATCCCCCAGTTATAGATAGATACGTGTCCTCGGTTCATATATTTTCCTTCTGCCTAAAGAAACAGAAAAAATCAATCAAGCGATCCCAACGCCGTTCGGAATCAGCGAACTTGGTTGCAGAGATCAGTATCGCGTAGCGTAAAGTTAATTTCTGATTTGGCCAAAATTTCGATTTTGTCATAATACCGAGAGGATCAGCGAAAAAATAGTACAGCTTTTCACACGATTACAAAAGAGATAAGAGGCAGAGGAGATTAAATGTTGTAAATAATATACGCCAAGTCATGCAATGATGTTGAAGCTAGGTCCAGCGAAAATGTTCAACTTGCCCTATAAACCATTTCCCGGACTCGATCGAGATCACGTTTGCTCAAAGATTAAAGAATTGCCGCATATGAGTTAGAAATTTACTTACCATCTTAATGGAGTCTTGATTCTGTTTTCCGCAATAGGGAAAGGTATTTACAGGTAATTTGCGCAGAAATTCTATGTAAAACAAATGTCTGTGCGATCTGTAATATAGGCAAAAACGATCGATAACAATTAAGCGAGCGTAATTTTTGATAAAAACTTCTTTCCCAATTTACTTAGTGATGTCCTTAAGGAGGATTACATGTTA